TGCTTTTCCCAATCCTAATTTGTTTCTTAGTTTTGAATGACCAGGTTATTGAACAGAACAAAATTCTCTTCAGTTACTCACTAATCTGTAAGGAAGGAAATAATTTCTTCACCTTGAAGGAGGCTAAAGTTCTCAAAAGATTGTTTACCATTTCAGAAAAATTTTGTATCCAGGTGTTTATCCAATGTTTTCTCCATGCTTTAGCATCACAGCTTTCTTGAAAACTTTCATAGAAATCAGATGCTGTTTAAGTACTGGGGTTTTTATGTTTTTCAGACATAGGAAGTCACCTTTATGTCAGTAATTCCAATTTTTTTTGCATACATTAATATATGAATTAAAAAAATTAAACTGAAAAAAAGTCTGAATCCGTGCCAGAGGGGAGAGGTCTGGAGGAAGGGGAGATTGATGAGGTTTGTGGTTTTTTGATGCCTTTGTTTGACACATTGTGAGTAGTTGCAAGGATTTCTCACCCTGAATAATACTTCTTTTTTTAGGGAAATATTTATTTCCCAGAGAGAAGGAAACATTTTTTGTTAGCTGCTTTGGTGCGTGGTGATGATGTCAAAAGTTCTCTGTTCCTGTTAGTAGGTGCTAATTCTAGAACAAAAGCACTCATAAACCTCCTCAGGGCAAGAGAATGGGGCACATGCTTCCATTTCAGTCAACAACTGAAACTCCTGATTTATTTTTTTGCATCTTATATTCTACCTTTTCTTTGTAGAGCTCACAGATTGTAGTGGGCTTGTGAACAAGGTCTATTTAGTAAAAACTGCTGAGATTCAACTGTAAAGGAAATGTTTCTTCACCTTTGCTGTCATTTTACGTTCCATTTAGTAGGTAAATCCTCCCCTTAAGTTGTCTCTTAATGAGGAGTTTCAAGCTATACATGAAAAGTCCACTGTGCTTTATTTGCCCTAGTGCTGCCTTCCTCTTTCCTGGGCTAGATAACTGAGTTGGAAAGGTCTCTGTTCCCATGCTATTAATCTAAGTCCCCAGAACTCAAAACCTGGTTTGAAGACATCCCACTTCTTTCATGCGTAACTATTCCAGAAGCTGTGACTTCTGGTGGTGCTTAAAGAAGTATCTTACTGTTCTCTTCTTGATTCAAGGCTTCTGTGAACACCTTGTGCAATTCCTCCTGTCCTGAGGTTCTCCTCTGCTTACCTCTTGGCTGTTAGCTACCAAGTACCTTCGAAACCCAAAGGTCTGTGGAAACTAGTGAAGAAAAGGAAGCTATTGAGGTTTTCTGTGTTTACGTAGTCCTGTACAGATTTATACTCCTCTGCCTGGACTGTTTGCCTTCAATAGAAGTAACTGAAGTAGAACAACTCTGAACAACAGAGTTCTTGTAATGTTGTTCGACTGCATGTACTCTCCTTATCTTGGTATTTTCGAGCTTGGATCTTTGCTTCTGATTGGTGTCCAAAGATACTGTCCAAGAAACTGTCAGGGATCTATGCCAATCCAGCTATGAGGGCTGTGCAACAGTAAGGCAAGATATAGCTGGCCCACTGTCTGTGTGTGCAGAAGGAGGAGGTGTTATACTCAGGAAGCTCTTAAGAGCTTTCTCTCCCCAAGTCTTCACAAAAAAGTTGAAAATTTCTGCATTGTCTGTTCCGTGTGAAGGACAGCAGGAGCATGTTTCCTAGCCTAGTGTCCAGCTAATCCCTAAGTGTCAACTCATTAATGGAAATTCCTTGCACATACTTAATGGGGAGAAATAAGGGTGACCTGTTTTCTCCATAGTAAAACAATGTTTTTGTTTACTTGCTTTAGGAGATGTGAGTAATAAATGGGGCATCTAAGATGTGTTAGTAGAATAATTGTCTGAAAGGGAGTGTTTGATATTGGCAGTACTAGAAAAGGCTGTGCTGTATAAAACTATGATGCTAAACTGTGTCTTTGAATAGATGCCCAGGGCTTTGGGGAAGGCCTTCTGGTGGCTGCCTGTTTTGCAGCATTTCTAGCTCTTCAATTCCAGGAAGCCCACAGACAGAAAAAGGGACTTGAGCAACACTGTTCCTTAACTATTTCACTACATTTCAAGATTTTAGGGAGCTACATATTGTTGAGGTTCTGATGGCTTTTGGAGGGCTGTATTCTCAAAATGGTGTGAGCTGAGGCAGCTTGCTGGGAAAAGCTAGGCATGAGCCAGAGAGAAAAGAAGGACTTTCTCTGAAGTTTTCAGGAAGGGCAAGAATCCAGTGCCATACAGCTTTGGGATGGAAAGATCTAGTGATACCTTTTTTCTATCTGGGAAGACTGAGATGGGGAGACTTGTAGAGTGAAGCTAAATCTTACATCGTGAAGTGACTGTGCACAGAGTACCCTAAATAGATAGATTTGTTTCATATTTGTTACAGGTATCACCTGAAAGAGCAAAGAGGCATTTCAAAGATGACACCATAGAAGCAAAACAGGCAGCAAAACAGGTAGCTCACCATTGGAGTACTCACTATTACTCCAGTATCCCTTTTTGGGACCAGGACTTGGGTGATACCAAGGAAATCTGCATGCTGTCAGCCACTTCTTTAATTTCCTAGTCGGGATAGACCAGGAGGCAGCATTGAGTTCCTCACCTCTCTGGTTCTTCCTGAAAGCATTGCCCAGCCCCATGGCAAACATATCATGAATCATTCATCTTTAATAGATTATGCAAATTGAGAACATCAGATCAATGAAGATCAATACCTGCAACCATTTAATTGCCAGCAAAAACATTTTAAGAATGAGCGTTATCTGAAGTCCTTTCTTGGGTAATGGCACCATTAATCCAAACATTGGATCCTGGCCTAAGTGTAGAGGAAAAACACTCTGCCCCTCTTCCCCCGATGCCTTACAGGGTGTCAGGGGGTTTTGTTTTTCCCTTTTCATTTCCAGTTTCTGAGTTTCTCCATCATTATCACCAGTGAACAGCTCCCAGTGCTAAAAGTTCTGCTTTTGTTACTCTGCACTGATTGAAATGTCGCATACAGATTGAGATGTTAGTGCTAAGTTGCCACCTGGGAATGTCAAGCTGGGTCTGAAATGAACTTTCTCACTTTTGGATCCAGATGGATCAGATGGGGATGTTCTCGAACTGAGCTGGGAGCGTGGCAGGGAACAGAGTGAGGATGGCACAGGGTGGGGGGGACTCGAAGAAAATTTTTTGCCTTAGCCTATAGTCTCTTCTGGAAGGCCATATCTGTCTCCTTCTGTGCCCTTGTGAGAGTAATGTCCAAAAATTGTGTAGTGTTCCCAGCCTTCTAGAAGCCTACTTTCACGTTAACAGGCTGGAATGAACCATCTTCACTTAGGAAGAAGGACTAAAAGGAATTTATTTTAATGGTCCCTTTGAATCTTAGGCTCTGACTGTAGACACGTCACCTTTACATTCAGCTGTGGGGATCTGCCTTGCTCTCCTGCTGGCTTTGCCCCCCAAACCAGGAAAATATTTCCTGTAAGAGATGTAGATCTGCTGAACAATAGATGAACACCAGCTGAGTTTTGTCTTGCTTATGCAAATAAAAAGAAAGGTAGAACAACTTTACCACAGCTAAGCCACTTTTTTCTGGTTGGCTAAGAAACCGCACGGCTACAAGGATTCTGAATTGACCCTGATAGCAGTAAAAGCCATGAAAAAAGTCAGGGGATGTCACGCTTTCTAGACATTCCCTAAATAATGTAGTTCATCTCCCCACGTTCTCCACGGCATTTTGTAGACCTCACACTGGATATCCTCTGTATTTGAGTTAACTGTTACTAATCCTGCCTGGTGCCAAAGTTCTTGGTAGCCAAAAGTTGCATGCAACAACATGCCTTTGCTCCATGTTTGCTGAAAAAGCTACAACTACCTGCCTCAGCCATGAGCTGCTTTAACATCAAGGGCTATTAGCTGGGGCTTTTGCAAGAAGAAGTTGAGATACAAATACCAGTGCTCTTGATTCTGTGTCATTAGAGGACAACTTTTTGGCCAAGAGACAACAGTTTCTTCTCTTGCTAACAGGATTTAGACCTCTTTGTCATGAGTTGTTTCTCAACTTATGCCATGAGGTTTTTAGATTGGCCACAGCAGTTTCAGAGAAAGAGGGATATAACAAACAGGGGAAAGTCACTCGAGCCTTGCCAGCCGCTTTAGCTACCCAAGAGGAGATGTGCAAGTCTGTAGTGGCTGTGTGAGCAATGAACACTGGCAACTAAAGCCTGAGAAGAAGTGCTGTATGAGTTAAGCACTCTATGAATTAAGGCACCAGAATACCTCCTTACAGCTCTAGACATACACAGGGCAGGCAGTCTAACACTAATATCAGGACAGCATGTGTGTGCCCTGTGGCCCCAGGACAACCCTGTGCTGCTTAGGTTCTGCACGTGCCACCACAAAGAGGAGGTTTCAGCGAAGCATCTACTGATTCCTCTGCTGTCATGCACTTACTCAGTTTCTGCTCTCCCAGACACACCTGACTTTAATGTGCCCACACATGAGGGAAGGCTGTACACAAAGTTTTTTTGCTAGCTGTCATTAGAGACTCTTGGGCTTAAGGAAGAGGGAGTTTAGCAGTCACAGTTCAGCAGACCTCAGTATTTAATTTGTAAATGCCCCGTCCAAATGCCAGGGCTGAATAAAATGTATACTATTATTTCTCCCCAAGAAAACCAAGTGCAGATCCTGAATAAGCCATGACCTCATTTTTCTCAGATACATAGGAAAAAATCACAGTGCATATTTTAACATATCTGTCCTCTACCAACATTCTGTGTCCCATCTGGGCACACAATTTCCCGTTTCAGTCTGGGTTTGCTTGTCTTTGAGTCACACCTGGACACCTCTAGGTGTACCCAAAACTGCCAATACTCTGACTTTCAAGCTTCCCTTGAGCCCTTATGTTCTCCATTGTCCTTCTTTCTCTTTCCATGTTTGCCACAGAGGGATATCTTGCATTAGCAGAAAAAGCAGAAGCTAATGGTGATGAGGGAAATAAATAAAAAGCTTGGTTCTGCTGTTTGGTCAGGCAGCTTACCGGTCACCACAGGGTACGTCTGGGGTCCTGACACATTTGTCCCCAGGTCTGGGTTAGCAGAGGTGGATAGACTTGATTTGACTTCATCGAGACCAGGGGTCAGAGCTGGGAGGGAGTACTCATTACCCTGGGGAAGAGAGGAGAAAGACAGCTCGCTATTGATGCGACGGGAGAAGGGGAAGGGTGTACAGATGGGGGGGAGGAAGAGGAGAGATGCAAACCCCTGCACAGATGGAAGAGGAGGAGGAGGAGGAAACGTAGAAGATAAAGGGACAAGAGGGTTGTGAGGAGGTTCCTAGGATGAACTATCCCACCCACCTGCGTGACGCTGTGAAGGGGAAGGGGGGTGAGGGATCTGACCTGTTATCTGTGATGTGGCTGAGCCTTCATTCAGAGCTGTGGGGATGGCTGTCTGTGCCAGCCCAGGGGAAAAGAAAGGGGGAATCCGCATCCCCTCCTCTTGGCTGAGTGGAGGTGGGAGATGTTTGCCCTGGTGACAAAGACAGCTGGGGCATAGGACTGCAATGACATGACTAGGACAGGCGGGTTGTAGGAAGCAGCCAGTGTTGGCCCACTGTCGCCAGGGTCTCTGCTTGAGTCATCTGCCTCCCCTCCACTGTTACCTCTGTCCTAGCTTTTTAAAAACAAAGAAGCCTCATCCCCTGCCTCTGTCACTCTGTGCATTGGGGTATGAAATTGGGGAGGGGGGAGCCACATGGCTAACAGAAGGGTGGGAGGGGGAGAGCCATTGAATCTGAAAGGGTGTCCTGTCCGAAAGGCTCTGGTAATTGCCTTTTTATTGTGGCAGCCTCCAGACCAGACGCGGGAGCTGGAGAAACCGGGAAGGCTACAAAACAGCAGGAAAAGTTGCTCTGATTAATATTACGTTAAATTAAAACTGATTTTCTGCTCTTTCTTCTCCGTTTTTTTCCATGCACTTCCCCAACCCCCTCCTCACATCTCCCCCTCCTCCAGTGGGCTCCCCTCATGCTGCCCCCTCCCCGCCCCTGTCCCTGCTTGGCTAGGACTGCCTAGTCATTTCCAATTCCTTCTTGTATTGATCTTCCTGTAGAAATCAGTTTTGTAATTAGCTGCAAATTAGGCCTTCTACTGGGGGTGAGCCTGCCCCCTGATTTATCACCAGAGTAATTCGCTGTGATCGGAGAGAAATTAAAATGAACTCAATTAGGCTTCGGATTTGCTTTATGGGCCCTGCTCAGAGTTTCAGGGGGAAAAATGACTGTGCTGGTGCTTAATAGTCTAATGAAAGTAAATAAAGGTTATTCATTGTAATAAACCCAGGGACTCTGGGATGAAGGGAGTCCACAGCCAGCCTCTCCTTCTCTTCCTTTGTTGGTTTATGGCTTGGGGCGGTTTAAAAAGACTTTTGATTTTCATTTTATTAAGACAAACAGCTTTTGGGATAAAAGGCCAGGAGAGCGGGGGAGTAAAGAAAAGGTGGGCAGAGCTGCAGAAGTGTGGAAAACTAGGTTGGAGATGGGAGTCAAGTCTCAGCTTTGGGCCATGAAGGAAAATGGTCCATTAAAACCCAACCCTGTGGCTCGCTGGTCATCTAAGAGTGCAGGAGTTTCTGTGAAGTGCTTTGTGCCACAGCATGGTGGTGTAGGCATGTTCATGTGAAGAACATGGATACATAACTGCGGGTGTGTGTGCAGAGGGAAAAGCAGATATGGGGATTTAGGAAGAGCACAGTGTGAGTGTAGAGAGGAGGTAGAGCTCGTATACACACGAGCATCAGCACAGTGATATAGTTACAACTAGAAAGCGCTGTAAAATGAAGATGTGGTGTATGTGCAATAACAGGTCAATGTCAGAACATGGGATGGAGAGGGGGAGAGGGATTTTGGTGAAGGAATGTCCCTACCATCATCCTATCAGTGCCTGTGGTTTCCCATTACCAGGCCAGGCCCTCACCTGCTCAGATTTGATGTGCTCTGATGTTTGAAAGACGTCAGGGTAAGAAGGACGCTCAAAAACTCGATCTAAAGCTTCCAGCTGCTGCTGGGTGAAAGTGTCGCCACGAAGGTGCTTCCGCAAACTGTCCACGCTGCTCTGGGAATCTCCATTGGGAACTGAGCCCTCGGATACATCTGCAGGGCACAGACAGAGAAAACAGGGAATTAGCACCACCCTGGCTTGGATTGGCAAGGGATGCAGGACAAGGACAGAGTGGGGAAGAGTGGGGCCCTCTGCTTCCACCCAGGTAGCTGTGCCACTCCCGAGAGAAGGGGAAGCTGCAGGGACCCAAGGGAGCCCCCTCCTCTCTCCTGGAGTGGCTAGGCTGTTCCTGTGGGCTCTGTGGGACTCTGCTGCCCAGAATGAGTGAGGCTGTGGAGAATGGTGCTTGGCTCAGAGATGAGTTTCGGTTCCGCTGATTTTCAGTGTTAAAAATTGCCAAATCTCCATTGCTGAGCATAAAATGGGAGCAGAGCACAGCGATTAGCACCGCTAGAAGACTGGTGGAGGTGCAGTTCACAGAGAAACCAGAGTGCTGAGGATAGACTGTACTGAAGAGGACTGAGGAAGCCTGCAATGTTAAAAAGGCTCTCTTACAGCTTGAAGGGGAGTCGGTCTCTGCTGTAGCTCCCCAGTCCCGTGAACAGCTATTCATGTTATAATTTCCTTCTCATCTGATCATACCCCAGATGAGTCTTTCATCCCCTTTAGATAATAGGAACAATCCTGCTTCTGACTCTGTGTTTCACCAGAGACAAATATCTCCCCGTGGGGCAACTGTCCCATCTAACTTAGGTTGATTTCTGTCCCATTCGCCCACATATAGTTTGTGATTTATCTTAACCTGTATATCTGCTATAAAACTCCCTCCAAAAATGAGATGAATCTTTGTCAGTCCTCCTTCTTATCCAAAATTAATTATTGTATTACAAAACTGAGTCCTACTTAGTGGTAATCAGCTTTCCTTTTACTAGCATCATAGCCATTTTGGCAGAAGCTTTCCCAGAATGGCATTTCTGCCCCTACAGCCCTCTGACACAGTCCAATCTCACTGCAGTGCCTCCTGCCACGTTCCAGGGTGTCTCTGTTTCTGTTGTGCCATCCCACATCTCTTACAGGCTACTCATCCCCTCTGAGTTGAGTCCATTATAAATGCTCTGCCCTATCCAAAGTGAATCTTTTCCTATGATAAACCATCCGATCACCTACCTGGTTTTGTGGTTTTTTTGCCTTCCCTGTTATCCCCCGACTCAAATGAGGTGCATTTATCTCAGTTATAACCCCTTTTTATCTCAAGTGAGTGAGTCTCCTGCTATTAGCATCTGTCACATCCAAGGTGAGTATGTCTGTTATAACCTCCTGTCCCAGCTGAAGTGAATCTTCCTCTGTCATAATCCCTCATCTCATCTGAGGCAAGTCTGCTCATTATAATCTTCTCCAACTGTGCTGAGTATCTTTCCACTGTCACATCTCAGCCTAACTTTGGCGAGTCTGGTTATAATCCCCTGCATCATCCGTGCTGATATACCTCCATACCCTCCATACTGAGTCTCCACCTACTGTGCTTCATCAGACACTGCCTTATCACCCTGACTAATCTAAGATCAGGCTGTCCCTCTTGTGCTGTGATTATCTTCCTGCTTTTTTATTATTATTCTTCATACTTAAATTTTTCTTGGTGATCTCCAGTCTGTGAATGTCAGAAACTTGCTGTCTGTCAAGAAATTGGTCAAAGGTTCTGTAGAGGCTTTTTCCTTCCTCCATGCAATCCCAAGGTGCTCATGGAAACATGATGCCTCCAGGAGCCTGGAGTGGCATTTACTGTGCAATGAACACCCAGAACAAAGCCACTCTGCTGCTTCCTCTTTTAGCTCATGGGTGGTGCCAAGACAGGTATTTTCCTGGCACTGTTAATGCCCAGCTGGTAGCCCAGAGTTATGATTAAGCCTGCTGCCTTCTGGCTATGAGATATATCCGTTTATAGGTGATTATACGATATGATATAATCAATAGTACATTATATACAGTAGCGTAGTACAGTACCACTCGCAAAACCATAGAAAATATTACATATTGATTTGTCCCTGCCAGCAGCCTTCCCTCGAGCAGCCCCTTCTCTCTCTTTTCCACCCCAAGCCAGAGAAGGGCTGTTTACTGGCACTGATCCCTGACATTTTCTCCTCTCCACAGGCTTATTTGCACAAGGGAACGTTCTCAGGTTCCTGAAATCTGGAGTTCATGACAGATTTGACTAAGAGAAAACAAAGCAAAGATCAGGCTTGGTGGACTTCACACTGTGTGTGTGTTGCAGTTTTCATGTTTTGGATGGACTGGGCTTTTACTTTGGGGGAGTGGGTTTCAGGAGGACTAAGGGAGCTCTGGTCCTCCCTGCAGAAAGCTGGCGAAGAACTCCTGGGTCCAGACTCAGAAAAAAAATATGTTTCTGTATCAGTGCTTGCCTCAACCTGTCTGTAGCCTTTGAAGTTGTTTGTCTTTGATGATTTTTCCACGTGTCAGTCAGTGTGCACGACAGTGCACACCATGATGCTAATACACATGGGTATTTTTGCTGTAAATAATTATTCTGGTATTTAGATTCTGCATCACTGTACATACCTGCCCAGGTGTTTGTCTGTGGTGGCTGGTTTAGGCTATATCTGATTTCCAGGTATGGCAGCCCTACATTTTGCTTGGTGGTTTGGCGTGAGTGGATGGGTGTACAGTAAAACCTGCACTGATTGTCATTAAACCAGATTTTACCCTTAGTGAGTTGCCATGGGTGGTTACACAGATTAGTGCACACATGCACGTGTTTGTAATTCCTGTCTGCCTTCAGAGCCCTGTACACGTGTGTCTCCCGCGTGCCTTTGTGCGAAGAAGCTGAAATCACAGCTTTCCCAAGTCGCTGTAAGAGTCTCTTTTCCTTCATTTATTCAGAGGCCCTTCAGATCTTGACAAATCTGTCACTCTAAATTTGCGAGAGATTATGGTGCTCTCTGCCTAGCACGGAGAGAGGTGATATATGATATCTGCTGCCCCTATTGATTGCCTGATCTGGTGGCAGAGGGCTGGCGAAATGAACTTGAAATGAACATCATGCCTCAACTCATTGTGCGTATAATACACTACTTAATCCCACATTTTTGAGCCGCTATGGAATTCAATTGATCAATCATGTCCCTCTGATAGTACTGGTTTAGGGGTTATTGCTGCTCTGCTCACTGACCTTTCTATTTATTTATTTATTTATGTCTCTCTGTGTGTGTGTGTGTGTGTGTGTGTGTGTACACACATGCACATAAGTGTGTATTTGTATTTGGGAAACTAGGGACTAGCTGTTGAGAAAAGATCTCTGCACTCAGTAGGGAATGAAAGAAAAGGATGCAGGAAGGAGAAGAGCAAAGAATGGGGTTAAAAAAGAAATTGGAATGATTGAAGCAAGCAAATGGATAGGAAGGCGTGGAAAAGTTGTAGGGCAAAAGGCAATGCTTTAGTTTAGGTGGAAGTTGCTGGGGGTGGGGCACAGTGGTAGGGATGGGGGAGTGGGGGATTGGGGCACTCTGCCCTGACCTAGGCTTTAAAATCTGCAAAAGCAAAGAAAATCTTGACAGAGGCCTGTAGGCTACCTCGAGGTGGATCTTATCTAAACAGTTTGCAGTATTATTTGACTTAGTAATGGTAGGACACACGAATCCCAAACTTCACAGAGCAATAATATGAACTGTGTATATAGATTTTACTTATGAAGGAGAGAAGATTTTGCAGAGATGATCCTGAGAGACAGATTTATATGTGTTGCTAACATTGAAACAGTCACAGATCATTTTATTTTCTTCAAAACCAAAGGATTGTAAATCCCCTGTATTTGTTTTCTGGTGTCAAAACCTACAGAGGATGTGTTTTCATTTTTTCCCTGAAACTGCAAGGGCCAGACACTTATATCTGGCAACTTAGAAGTTGCAGTTCTCTTCTAAGCATTTGAATCTCTGATTTTGACTATCAGGAGAAGCGTCAAATTATGTCATACACAATTGTCATATGTCATATGGAAGCTAACAACCACATGGATATGAGCAAAGGTGGCAGAAAGGAGCAGAGAGGACTTTGGGGAAGAGATGGGGTCCATCAAAGGGCTGTGGGTGCTAGTCAACTCAGAGCTCAGGGCCAAAACTTGAATTGGGAAAGGCTAGGAGATCCCATGAGGAATGGCACTGTGGTGGGCCAGTTACTCCTACTGAGGAAGAACAGTGCTAGAAGTAAAAGCGTAAAGGACGGGGATTTGCCAAGAAAGTCGATATTGGAAGGGATTCTGTTGGAAACGGTGAAGCAAGGTTTCGGCTGCAGGATAACTATGGGAATGCCACCTACTTAACTGCACTAACTCCTAGCTGTACCATTAGGAAGCACCTTCATCTTTCCCAGTTCCCTTTCAATGGCAAGGGAAACTCTGTGGTACTGAAACAGAGGGACACCTTCCTTTTAAATAGTAAGGATCTTAACAAACAGCTTGAGAGGTGAACCATGGCCTCAGTCACTTTGTCCCTCACAAAAGAGCACACAGTGTCTGTCAGTGTGATCAGGACTGGCCTTGCACATGTGACAGGAAATATCTTTCCTCCCGAGGGGCTGCTGAGGGAGTGCACACAGCCAATGTTCAGCATAAACCCTCGACACAAGACACAGAAATGCTCCACGGGTGTCACAGAAGTATCCTGACAGATAACAAGGAAATGCTGTGCCAGAAGACACAGGAACAGCCTTAACTACGTCTGACACAGGGAATATGCCTATTAAATAATTCCAAAAAACCAGATGTTCCCAGGCCTGGAAGCCACAAAGACACCAGCATGTACAAGTAGCACAAAGCAGCATAATACCATTACTTCCCTAGCTAAAAATGGCAGCACTCTTGCCCAGGGTGGGACAGGACAGTATCAACAAATAACTCAGGAGTATTTCTGACAAAGGAAGACTTTTGTGGCACAGACACGTGTAGGAAGGTAATGAGAAGCTTTGCAGCCACCACACAGCCATGGAGACACTGCTCTCTTTTGGGGCAGGAGCTATTACTGTCCCTGTGACCTGTCTGCCTGCAGCCTTGTGGGGCTCTGGTCTCAGCTGAGGCCTCACAACT